TTTTTTCCTCATTTTGTCTGTCATAGTTGACGTGTACCTATGATGAAAATTATTAATGATTAATCTTTTTAAGTGGGAGAACTTGCACAATTGGTGGCTGACTAAATACTTTTTTTCCCCACTGCAGTTGGCTGCACGACTCACACTAACAGAAATCCCATGAAGCCTCGTTTACAAGTTTGAACACTGGAACGTGATAGGATGATAGAAATCCTCATTAATTAGTTGAATAATTCATTATTCATTTTTTTTTATATAGCCTACACATTCTCTTTCTGAACGTCTAACCAGAGTGGGGCCTGGCTTTTTCATGACAATGATCGCAAGAGCTGCTTAACGATTTGACGGCTCCAACAGCCGTTCCACCGCTGACACCTCCAAAACAGCCACGATGCAGTGTCTGCTATTGCCGGTTAATGCTTGATCTGATTGAATCTAGGCTCTAGTGTCGAATAAAGATGAAGTGGTTGAAGGGTTTCCATTATCCATTTAGGCAAATTGAACATTAATAAATTGAAGACAGCCTGTACGCCCTCCCACATCTGGAGTGGCGCAGCGGTCAAAGGGCACTGCATCGCAGTGCTAGAGGCGTCACTACAGACCCGGGTTCGATCCCGGGCTGTATCACAACCTGCCGTGATCGGGAGTCCTATAGGGCGGCGCACAATTGGCCCAGCGTCGTCTGGGTTAGGGGAGGGTTTGGCCGGGGTAGGCCGTCATTGTAAATAAGAATTTGTTCTTAACTGACTTGCCAAGTTAAATAAAGGTTAAATAAAAATAAATACAATGAATGTCTCAGGTAGCCCATGGCAACCAGCATGGATATTCTAATCATTCTCATGTACCAAACTATCACCACGGTGAAACTTGCACTCCTTTAAATATTCTGAACAAAAATAAACGCAACATGCAACAATTACAAAGATTTTACTGAGTTACAGTTCATATAAGGAAGTCTGTGGATTTCACGACTGGGAATACAGATATGCATCTGTTGGTCACAGATACCTTACAAAAAAACCAGTCAGTTTCTGGTGTGACCGCCATTTGCCTCATGCAGCGTGACACATCTCCTTCGCATAGAGTTGATCAGGCTGTTGACTGTGGCCTGTGGAATGTTGTCCCTCTCCTCTTCAATGGCTGTGTGAAGTTGCTGGATATTGGCGGGAACTGGAACACGCTGTCGTACACGTCGATCCAGAGCATCCCAAACATGCTCAATGGGTTACATGTCTGGTGAGTATGCAGGCCATGGAAGAACTGGGACATTTTCAGCTTCCAGGAATTGTGTACAGATCCTTGAGACATGGGGCCGTGCATTATGATGCTGAAACATGAGGTGATGGTGGCGGATGAATGGCACAACAATGGGCCTCAGGATCTCGTCACTGTTCATTCAAATTGTCATCGATAAAATGCAATTGTGTTCGTAGCTTATTTTACATTTACATTTTAGTAATTTAGCAGACGCTCTTATCCAGAGCGACTTTCAGTTAGTGAGTGCATAACATTTTTTCATACTGGCCCCCCGTGGGAATCGAACCCACAACCCTGGCATTGCAAGCACCATGCTCTACCAACTGAGCTACACAGGGCCCAGCATGCCTGCCCCTACCATAACCCCACCGCCACCATTGGACACTCTGTTCACAACGTTGACATCAGCAAACCACTCGCCCACACAACGCCATACACGTGGTCTGCGGTTGTGAGGCCGGTTGGATGTACTGCCAAATTCTCTAAAACGACATTGGAGGCGGCTTATGGTAGCAACAGCTTTGGTGGACATTCCTGCAGTCAGCACGCCAGTTGCACGCTCCCTCAACTTGAGACATCTGTGGCATTGTGTTGTGACAAAACTGCACATTTTAGAGTGGCCTTTTATTGTCCCCAGCACAAGGTGAACCTGTGTAATGATCATGCTGTTTAATCAGCTTCTTGATAGGCCACACCTGTCATGTGGATGGATTATCTTGTTTAATTGTTTTATTAAGCCATCCACCAACCCCCCCCCCTCCCTCTTCGGAATACATTTGTTTATTTTTTTAATAGCTAACAAAAAAAAAGGGAAAAAAAAAAGGGGCCCCCAAAAAACCCCCTTTTTTTTTTAAAAAAAAAAAAAACCCCCCCCGGGGTTTTGGCCCTTTAAAATTTTTAACCCCCCCCCGGGGAAAAACCGGCAAAAAAAAAAAAAAATTTTAAAAAAGGGGGGGGGAAAAAGGGGGGGTTTTAAAAATTTTTTAACCCTTAAAATTTTTTGGGGGGGGGGGGGTTTTTTTTTTTCCCCCCTTTTTTTTTTTGGGGGGGGCCCCTTTTTTTTTTTTCCCCTTTTTTTTTTTCCCCTCTTTTTTTTTTTTTTTTTTTTTTTTCCCCCCCCCCGGGGGGCCCCCCCCCCCCCCCCTTTTTCCCCCGGGTTTTTCCCCCGGGTTTTTTGGGTTTTTTTTTTTTTTCCCCCCCTTTTTTTCCCCCTTTTTTTTTTCCCCCCCGGGGTTTTTTCCCCCCTTTTTTCCCCCCCCCTTTTTTCCCCCTTTTTTTTCCAAATTGGGATTTTTTTTTTTTTTAAAAAACCCCTTTAAAAAATTTTTTTTTAATTTTTTTTTTAAAAAAAAAACCCCCCCCCCCTTTTTTCTCCCCCTTTTTTTTCTTTCTTTTCCCCCCCCCTTTTTTTTCCCCTTCTTTTTTTTTTCCCCTTTTTTTTTTTCCCCCCCTTTTTTCCCCCTCCCCTTTTCCCTCTTTTTCCCCCCTTTCTTCTTTCTTCCCCCCCCCCCTTTTTCCTCCCCCCTTTTCCCTTCCCTTTTTTCCCCCCCTTCTTTTTCTTTTCTCTCCCCCTTTCCCCCCTTTTTTTTTCCCCCCCGGGGAAATTTTTTTTTTTTTTTAAAATTTTTTTTTTTTTTTTTTTTGGGGGGCCCCCCCCCTTTTTTTTTTCCCCCCCCCTTTTTTCTTCTTTTTTTTTCCCCCCCTTTTCCCTTTTTTCCTTTTTTCCCCCTTTTTCCCCCCCCCTTTTCCTTTTTTTTTGCCCCCTTTCCCCCCGGGCCCCCCCTTTTTTTGGGCCCCCCCCCCCCCCCCCCCTCCCCCCCCCCCCCCCCCCCCCCCCCCCTTTTTTCCCCCCCCCCCCCCCGGGGCCGCCCCCCCCCCCCTTTTCGGGCCCCCCCCCCCCTTTTTTTCCCTTTTTGGTTTTTCCCCCCCCGGGGGTTCCTTTTTTTTTCCCCCCCCCTTTTTTTTGGGGCCCCCGGGGTTTTTTTTTTTTTTGGGTTTTTTTTAAAAACCCCCCCCCCCCCCCTTTTTTTTTTTTCCCCCCTTTTTCCCTTTTTTCCCCCCCCCCCTTTTTTTTTTGGGGGGGGCCCCCCCCCCTTTTTTGCCCCCCCCCCCCTTTTCCCCCCCCCCCCCCCCCTTTTTCCCCCCCCCCCCCCTTTTTTTTTTTTTCCCCCCCCCCCCGGGGGGCCCCCCCCCTTTTTTCCCCTCCCCCCCCCTTTTTCCCCCTTTTCCCCCCCCCCCCCCCCCCCCCCCTTTTCCCCCCCCCCCCCCCCTTTTTCCCCCCCCCCCCTTTTTTTTTTTTTTTCCCGGGGCCCCTTTTCCCCCCCCTTTTCCCCCCGGTTTTGCCCCCCCCCCCTTTTTTTTTTCCCCCCCCCCCCCCCCGGGCCCCCCCCCCCCCCCTGCCCCCCCCCTTTTTTTCCCCCCCCCCCCCCCCCTCTTTTTTTTCCCTTTTTTTTCCCCCCCCCCTTTTTTTCCCCCCCTTTTTCCTCCCCCCCCCCCCCCCCCCCTTTTTTTTTCCCCCCCCCCCCCCCCCCCCCTTTTTTTTTTTTCCCTTTTTTTTTTAAAAAAAAATTTTTTTTTTTTTTTTTTTCCTTTTTTTTTTTTTTTTCCCCCCCCCCCCCCCCCCCCCCCCCCCCCCTTTTTTTTTTTCCCCCCCCCCCCCCCTTTTTTTCCCCCTTTTTTTTCCCCCCCCCCCTTTTTTCCCCCCCCCCCCCGGGCTTTTTTTCCCCCCCTTTCCCCCGGGGCCCTTTTTTTCCCCCCCCCTTTTTTTTGGCTTTTTTTTTTCCCCCCCGGGCCCCCTTTTTTTGGGGGCCCCGGGGGGGGGGTTTTTAAAAGCCCCCCCCCGGGCCCCCCCCCCCCCTTCGGGGGGGTTCCCCCCCTTTTTTGGGGGGCCCGGGCCCCCTGGGTTCCCCCCCCCCCTTCGGGGCCGGGTTTTTCCCCCCCCTTTTCCCCCGGGTTGGGGGGGCCCCGGGGGGGGGGGCCGGTTACCCCAAAAAAAAGGGGCCCGGGCCCCCCCCCCCCCCAAAAAAACCCCCCCCGGGGGGGGAAAAAAACCCCCCCCCCCCCCCCCCAAAAAAAAACCCCCCCCCCAAAAACCCCACCCCCCCAAAAAAAACCCCCCCCAAAAAAAAAAAATTTTTTTTTAAAGGGAAGGGTTTTTTTTTTCCCCCCCCGGTTGGTTCCCCAAAATTAAAAGGGCCGGGCCGGCCCCCCCCCCCCCCCTTTTTTTTGGGGGGGCCCTTTTTTTTTTAAAATTTGGTCGGCCCCCTTAAAAAAACCCCTTTGAAAAAAAAAACCCCCCCCCCCCAAAAAACCCCCCCAAAACCCCCCCAAACCCCCCCCCCCCCCCCCCCAAAACCCCCCCCCCCCGGGGCCCCTTTGGCGCGGCGGGGCCCCCCGGGGCCCCGGGTGCTGGGGGGCCCGGGGGGGGGCCCCGGGGGGGCGGGGCGCGCCGGGCGGCGCTCTCGGCTGCGCGGCTCGCGCGCGCGCGCCGCTGCGCGCGCCGCGCGCGCGCGCTGCGCGCTCCGCGCTCGCTGCGCGCTCGCGCCGCGCGCTCTTCTCCCGCCTGCTTCGCGCCCTGCGCTGGCTGCTCTCGCGGCTGCGCGCGTTGCGCCGCCGCGGCTCTGCGCGGCTGCCGCGCGCCGACGCCCGCGTCCGCTGCTGCGGCTGCGCGCGCGCCCGCTCGGCGGCTTCGCCTGCTGCGCGCGCGGCGAGCCGCCGCCGCTGCTGCGCGGATGTTGTACCCTTCAGTGTGCTGCTGACATTTGTCGGAGAAACGATAAGCACCGCCCCCTTCGCTATCCCAGAATCCACCACCTGCTCCTCGTGAGAGGGAGAGTCCAGGACCTTGGCAGTGAAGCTGTCGGTCATTGGCTCCTGAGTCTCGGTGGCTCCGCCTTCTGAGGAACCAATCAGAAAGTTCTGCTCTGGCTCCTCCCCCTGCATCTCCACAACCAGCTGTGATTGGCAAAGAGGCTCTGGAGAGGTGTGGTCAGAGGTGACCGTCTGAATGATAACGCTGTCACTGGAACAAAGACCCTCCGTCTGAAACACCACACACACACACACACACACACACACACACAGACACACACACACACACACACACACACACACACACAGGCACGCGCACAGACACACACACACCACACACACACACACACACACACACAGACAAGTAAATAAATTGCTGCACTTCAAAAGAAATATAATAATTCGTTTTTTGTTCACTAAGGGAGTGAATGTTATTTATAATAATATTACTAAGGACTAGTTGACCAGGGGTATATTACTAACTAAGGACTAGTTGACCAGGGGTATATTACTAACTAAGGACTAGTTGACCAGGGGTATATTACTTTTTTTTTTTTACATTTTAAGTCATTTAGCAGACGCTCTTATCCAGAGCGACTTACAGTTAGTAAATACATATTTGTTTTTATACTGGCCCCCCGTGGGAATCGAACCCACAACCCTGGCGTTACAAACGCCATGCTCTATCAACTGAGCTACATCCCTGCCGGCCATTCCCTCCCCTACCCTGGACGACGCTGGGCCAATTGTGCGCCGCCCATGAGTCTCCCGGTCGCGGCCGGCTGCGACAGAGCCTGGATTCAAACCAGGATCTCTAGTGGCACAGTTAGCACTGCGATGCAGTGCCTTAGACCACTGCGCCACTCAGGAGTATATTACTAGCTAAGGACTAGTTGACCAGGGGTATATTACTAACTAAGGACTAGTTGACCAGGGGTATATTACTAAGGACTAGTTGACCAGGGGTATATTACTAACTAAGGACTAGTTCATCAGGGGTATATTACTAACTAAGGACTAGTTCACCAGGGGAATATTACTAACTAAGGACTAGTTCACCAGAGATATATTACTAACTAAGGACTAGTTCATCAGGGGTATATTACTAACTAAGGACTAGTTCACCAGGGGAATATTACTAACTAAGGACTAGTTGACCAGGGGTATATTACTAACTAAGGACTAGTTGACCAGGGGTATATTACTAACTAAGGACTAGTTGACCAGGGGTATATTACTAACTAAGGACTAGTTCACCAGGGGTATATTACTAACTAAGGACTAGTTAATCAGGGGAATATTACTAACTAAGGACTAATTGACCAGGGGTATATTACTAACTAAGGACTAGTTCACCAGGGGTATATTACTAACTAAGGACTAGTTCACCAGGGGTATATTACTAAGGACTAGTTGACCAGGGGTATATTACTAAGGACTAGTTCATCAGGGGAATATTACTAACTAAGGACTAGTTCACCAGGGGAATATTACTAAGGACTAGTTGACCAGGGGTATATTACTAAGGACTAGTTCACCAGGGGTATATTACTAACTAAGGACTAGTTCACCAGGGGAATATTACTAACTAAGGACTAGTTCACCAGGGGAATATTACTAACTAAGGACTAGTTCACTAGGGGTATATTACTAACTAAGGACTAGTTCACTAGGGGAATATTATTAAGGACTAGTTCACCAGGGGAAAATTATTAAGGACTAGTTTATAATAATATTACTAAGGGAGTGAATGTTATTTATAATAATATTACTAAGGGTGTGAACGTTCTTTATAATAATATTACTGAGGGAGTGAACGTTCTTTATAATAATATTACTGAGGGAGTGAACATTATTTATAATAATATTACTAAGGGAGTGAATGTTATTTATAATAATATTACTAAGGGAGTGAATGTTATTTATAATAATATTACGGAGTGAAGGTTATTTATAATAATATTACGGAGTGAACGTTATTTATAATAATATTACTAAGGGAGTGAACGTTATTTATAATAATATTACTAAGGGAGTGAATGTTATTTATAATAATATTACTAAGGGAGTGAATGTTATTTATAATAATATTACTAAGGGAGTGAATGTTATTTATAATAATATTACTAAGGGAGTGAACGCTATTTATAATAATATTACTAAGGGAGAGAATGTTATTTATAATAATATTACTAAGGGAGTGAATGTTATTTATAATAATATTACTAAGGGTGTGAACGTTCTTTATAATAATATTACTAAGGGAGTGAACGTTATTTATAATAATATTACGGAGTGAACGTTATTTATAATAATATTACTAAGGGAGTGAATGTTATTTATAATAATATTACTAAGGGAGTGAACGTTCTTTATAATAATATTACTAAGGGAGTGAACGTTATTTATAATAATATTACTAAGGGAGAGAATGTTATTTATAATAATATTACTAAGGGAGTGAACGTTATTTATAATAATATTACTAAGGGAGTGAACATTATTTATAATAATATTACTAAGGGAGTGAATGTTATTTATAATAATATTACGGAGTGAACGTTATTTATAATAATATTACTAAGGGAGTGAACGTTCTTTATAATAATATTACTAAGGGAGTGAATGTTATTTATAATAATATTACTAAGGGAGATAATGTTATTTATAATATTATTACTGAGTGAACGTTATTTATAATAATATTACTAAGGGAGTGAATGTTATTTATAATAATATTACTAAGGGAGTGAACGTTATTTATAATAATATTACGGAGTGAATGTTATTTATAATAATATTACTAAGGGAGTGAATGTTATTTATAATAATATTACTAAGGGAGTGAACGTTATTTATAATAATATTACTAAGGGAGTGAACGTTCTTTATAATAATATTACTAAGGGAGTGAACGTTATTTATAATAATATTACTAAGGGAGTGAACGTTCTTTATAATAATATTACTGAGGGAGTGAACGTTATTTATAATAATATTACGGAGTGAATGTTATTTATAATAATATTACTAAGGGAGTGAACGTTATTTATAATAATATTACGGAGTGAATGTTATTTATAATAATATTACTAAGGGAGTGAACGTTCTTTATAATAATATTACTAAGGGAGTGAATGTTATTTATAATAATATTACGGAGTGAATGTTATTTATAATAATATTACGGAGTGAATGTTATTTATAATAATATTACTATGGGAGTGAACGTTCTTTATAATAATATTACTAAGGGAGTGAACGTTCTTTATAATAATATTACTACGGGAGTGAACGTTCTTTATAATAATATTACTAAGGGAGTGAACGTTCTTTATAATAATTACTAAGGGAGTGAATGTTATTTATAATAATATTACTAAGGGAGTGAATGTATTTATAATAATATTACTAAGGGAGTGAATGTTATTTATAATAATATTACTAAGGGAGTGAACGTTCTTTATAATAATATTACTAAGGGAGTGAACGTTCTTTATAATAATATTACGGAGTGAATGTTATTTATAATGATATTACTATGGGAGTGAATGTTATTTATAATAATATTACTAAGGGAGTGAATGTTATTTATAATAATATTACTAAGGGAGTGAATGTTATTTATAATAATATTACTAAGGGAGTGAATGTTATTTATAATAATATTACTAGGGTTGAAGTTCTTTAGTAATTTACTAAGGAGTGAATATTTATAATAAGATTACGGAGTGAATGTTATTATATAATATTACTATGGGAGTGAACGTTCTTATATAATATTACTAAGGGAGTGACGTTCTTAATAATATACTGGGAGTGAAGTGTTATTTATAAAATATACAAGGGAGGAATGTTCTTTAAAATATTACTAAGGGAGGTGAACGTTTATTTTAATAATATTACTAGGGAGTGAACGTTCTTTATAATACATATTACTAAGGGAGTGAATGTTATTCATAATAATATTACTAAGGGAGTGAACGCTATTTATAATAATATTACTGGATTGGGAGTGAACGTTATTTATAATAATATTACGGAGGAATGTTATTTATAATATATTACTAAGGGAGTGAACGTTATTTATAATAATATTACGGAGTGAATGTTATTTATAATAATATTACTAAGGGACGTGAACGTTATTTATAATAATATTACTAAGGGAGTGAACGTTCTTTATAAATAATATTACTAAGGGAGTGAACGTTCTTTATAATAATATTACTAAGGGAGTGAACGTTCTTTATAAATAATATTACTAAGGGAGTGAATGTTATTTATAATATATTACTAAGGGAGTGAATGTTATTTATAATAATATTACTAAGGGAGTGAATGTTATTTATAATAATATTACTAAGGGAGTGAACGTTCTTTATAATAATATTACGGAGTGAACGTTATTTATAATAATATTACTATGGGAGTGAACGTTATTTATAATAATATTACTATGGGAGTGAACGTTCTTTATAATAATATTACTAAGGGAGTGAACGTTCTTTATAATAATATTACTAAGGGAGTGAACGTTCTTTATAATAATATTACTAAGGGAGTGAATGTTATTTATAATAATATTACTAAGGGAGAGAATGTTCTTTATAATAATATTACTAAGGGAGTGAACGTTATTTATAATAATATTACTAAGGGAGTGAACGTTCTTTATAATAATATTACTAAGGGAGTGAACGTTATTTATAATAATATTACTAAGGGAGTGAACGCTATTTATAATAATATTACTGAGGGAGTGAACGTTATTTATAATAATATTACGGAGTGAATGTTATTTATAATAATATTACTAAGGGAGTGAACGTTATTTATAATAATATTACGGAGTGAATGTTATTTATAATAATATTACTAAGGGAGTGAACGTTATTTATAATAATATTACTAAGGGAGTGAACGTTATTTATAATAATACTACTAAGGGAGTGAACGTTATTTATAATAATATTACGGAGTGAATGTTATTTATAATAATATTACTAAGGGAGTGAACGTTCTTTATAATAATATTACTAAGGGAGTGAATGTTATTTATAATAATATTACGGAGTGAATGTTATTTATAATAATATTACTATGGGAGTGAACGTTCTTTATAATAATATTACTAAGGGAGTGAACGTTCTTTATAATAATATTACTAAGGGAGTGAACGTTCTTTATAATAATATTACTAAGGGAGTGAATGTTATTTATAATAATATTACTAAGGGAGTGAATGTTATTTATAATAATATTACTAAGGGAGTGAATGTTATTTATAATAATATTACTAAGGGAGTGAACGTTCTTTATAATAATATTACTAAGGGAGTGAACGTTCTTTATAATAATATTACTAAGGGAGTGAACGTTCTTTATAA